TGTTTACATGGACAAGCAAACAAACCTTTAGTGTAGAATCCAATAGTGATACGGTCCCTTCATTCACGACCCACTCGATTAAGCTTAGGATTTGAACGTGTGTCTATCCAAACAGCTTAATCATTTTATCTCATCTCACTGGTTGATTTTATCAATTATATTTGAACACCATTTCAAATATAATCACGTGCATTGGCCAATGACTTTATCAACCCAGTATAGAGAAAACGAGTGTTCTCTCGAAACTATATTCGAGGAATGAATCCTATCTTGGCTCAACTACCAATTCCATGTATATCGTGATCTACCCAACACGAGCCCGTGTCTACCCATAAGGGCGTAAGCGTTGGACTAGGTCTAAGTAAATCACTCTATACATGAATTGCGTATTGACCTCAAGTCAAAGGACTATTACACCATTCCACACACCGATACTTCCATAGACACATAAACAAATGGTTTATCGGTAGGGTATGCAAATACTCTCTAAAGTATCCATGTGTCCATCACGAATAACAATTATTCATAGCAGTGAGACATACTATATTCTCTAAGAATATGATGCAGACCACATGTCAATCTATCGCGTATCATTAATATCCCTTTCTTAATGATCATCGATTGAGGCAATTTTAGAGTTATACTTTATCAATTAACATCTCACTCTGCTAATGACAGTATCAACTCAATGGAGCAATTAATTAATAAATTGCAAACAATCAAACAATTATTTAATTCATTGCAATACCATAATTATAATCCAATATAATTATTAATGTGATCATGTATATATGTCCTTAAAATGATTGTCTCTAGGACACATATATACCAACAGTTAGTATATTGTTCAAATAATACACAAGAAAACTCAAATAGTGTAACATTAAGTAGAGCTATCTTAACAACTTAAAACAATTTTATAGATGAAATCAACGAGAAACTTATTCATAAATTTCCAGGTGATATGGTTGAATATTGTTTCTTTGATGAAGTTTTAAATCCATGCGATCAAGGACAAAACGAAGATTTAATAGATAGTTTTACTCCAAATGGACTTCCTCCACATAAATTTTATCCAAAAATTAATGCACCAATCATTCTGTTAAGAAACTTAGATCCTACAGAAAGGTTACATATATTTAGGGTCACGCTCCGGTGAGAATGGTATCTGAGGAAAGAAATGAGAATTAATATTGATCATTGAATAGAATATCCATCCGCTCAAAAAATACCAAATTGTCATGCTTATTAAGGGCAGATTAGTAATTATATCATTACAATCGACTAACCCACAGTGGGCTCCAAACCTCACCCTACCCTACCCTCCCTTTCTCACACACAAAACACACACTTTTTCACGCACACACACACACACACTCACACACACAGACGCGCAACACACAGGAAGAGACAACACCACCGTCCGTCCGTTGCTGCCTGCCGACTGATCCACCACCGTCGCGTCGCTGGCAGTCCGACCGCCTCCGTTAGTCAGAGAGTCGCTCGTACTTTTCCGGGAGGTCAGGAGCGTCGTCTTCGTCGAGATCCGGCAGCCGTCGGCTGACAAGATCTGCCGTCGGCTTCAGCTCGCCACCTCCGAGAACCGTCTCTACGCCGCCTGGCAGACGCGCCGATTCTCGTTCCAGACAATGCCGACGGCGATGCTCACCAAGTCAACACTCCTCCCGGAAGTTACGAACAACAGCGAGAATAACGAGAATTAATGTCAGTTTCGAACAGTCCACCGCCGATAGCGTCACTGCTAGCCATCGCAGTGATTAACGGCAGTTTGCGGTTCTGCAGGCCATAATATCGGCGCCTGAACGTTTGGATAAATTTTAGATTTGGTGGCATTGTTATGAGAATTTGATACTTTACATGGGTATAAGTGCAATTTCATAAATTATAATATATTTCAATTTAGCTTTTGGGTCAAATTGTAATTTTATAAAAGTTCAATAATGCACAACAAATTATTAAGTATAATGTGCATTATAACATGTAGGCTTGCACAATAAAAAAAATACATATTATTAATATTTTTAAAATTGAAAATGCAAATAATAAATACTTGATTGATAGTTGCACAATAATGATGGACTGAATGCACACTATTGTTTGTGTGAATGCATATTATTAATTTCGATGTATATATATATATATATATATATATATATATATATATATATATGTGTGTGTGTGTGTGTATATAATGTGTTTTTTTTTTTTAAATAATATAAAATATTGATATAAATATTAAAATACTAAATACATTTTTATAATATATTCAATAAATCATTTCAATTATTTAGGACAATTAATTTAACCAATCGAACAAACCGATTACTCCAATTTAGTTGGAAAAATGTATACACAGCAAGTGCACAATAGTGTTAGATGAATTACACATTAATGACTATCGAATCGCATAATAAAAACCGAACCGACTAAAATAAACCTTTAGTTCAAACTTTTATGTTTCAGTTCGATTATCTAAGTTTACTTTTAAAAATCACAACTATCTCAGTTGGATGTCGGCTTTAATTTTGTGTTTTTAAATAAATAACCGAACTATATGAAATATTGCTATTAGTTTTTTTTTGTTTTTTTATATACTGCGAGTGCACAATAGGGTTATACTAATTGAACGTTAATGACTATCAGGTTGCACAATACAGAACAAAATCAGTCGAACTAATTTTTTTATTTTTTATTTAAAATATCGGTTATTTTGGTTCGATGTTGATCTTTTTTTAATTAAGTAATTAGAATAATTGAACGGTCGAATTATATAAAATATTATTATTATTTTTTTTATATTTCTTACTTCTTCACGACCAAATTATATAAACAAATATTATTTTATTATATTTTTAATACATAAGTGATTTCTTCTCATAATATAACATATTTATAACATATACTAACGCAATAAATATGTATTATTATAAAATAACTAATAATTTATTTCAATTATTTCAGTTTTGTTTTTCCAAAAGTTCGACTCACTTACTTCAAGTTTGACAGTTCAGTTCAATTTTTGCTATTGTGCATTGTCACAGATATTAAAATTTTGGTTTTCAGCTTTATTTACAAATAAAAAAAATAAAAAAAAAAGTAATGAATTAAGAGAACCGACGAACTATATAAAAATATTATTTTTTACATGTTATCTATGTATATATTATTTATGTTCAACAAGCAACAGTATAAAAATACTAAATAAAAAAATATAAATGATTTATATATATATATATTTATTTATTTGTATTATATAAATAATTTTACAATGCACAATAGTGTTATTTGAAATCCACGTTATTACAGTTTCCAATATTGAGATGCACATAAAAAGTACCCGCTCAACCATACGATAATATAAAAGTAACGGTTCAATAAATTGCACAATAATATAGACAAATTGCACATCAGAGTTATCGGGAATGCACATTATTGATATTTTATTTTATATATTGTCTTTTTAATTAAAAAATATTATAAAACAATAAATGTAAAAATAAAATGCTAAATAAATATTAGTTTGTTCCGTTCAGTTAGTTCGCTTTCGGCCAAAATTTTAGTTGACTCAACTATGGAGCCAACGGTTGGTTTTATAGCAAAATCGATCAATACTATAACATTTTTAATGGTCTTACATACATTATATATTATGCATTTAAGCAAAACTGCTGTACATTTATTAAACTTAATAAATTATAAATTTTACCAATTAACTTAATTGTAATATATTTAAACTTAATAAATTGGAATCATGTCCCCATAGTAAATCAAATTTCTCATGAAAGTCCCTCAATCCAATTTCGTCAGTCCGTCCATCCACATCACATTAGCATCATCAATGCCGCCGGCAAACCTCCCGGTCGTTCTCTGCCCCGCCAAGACATCGTCGGTGATCGGAATTTTCATTTTCGGTTTCGATTTTGATAGGAACTTGTAGAGTAATTCGGCCGGAGCCGTAGCCCTAATGATGAAGACGAGATTGACGAGTCATTCTTGGAAAATATGATCGTCTGCCACCTTAGCATAATTATTTATTTCATTTGCTATGTTTATTATTTCTCTTATTTAGTTAAGGAGGGCATTTATTTTTTAATTGGCAAATTGCTTGTTAAGTAAGTTAGGTCTTTAGGGTGTGTGGGAATATTTATTATTGATCTCTTCTCTTAGACCGATCGGTTATTGATCGAATAATATAGAAAATTTGAGATTTCATTCTCTACTTCCCTTTTGTCTACAACGCTATCCATCAATTGATATCAGAAGTCAGCACGATTCGAGATGCCACCTAAATGAAATGACAATGAACGACGTGATACCCATCTTGAGGATTTGGATCGACGAACGGATGGTCTCGGATTCCCAATCGAACAAGGGAATCGCCGAGTGGAGAGTCTTTCTAAGGGGATCGACGAAATCAGGCTAGCACTCCGTACCATGATGCAAGGTGATCAGATGAACCGCAATGCCATGGGCAGAGGTGGTCACGGCGGGTTCCGCGGAGGATGTGGCGGAAGAGGGCCGATCGGGGCGCCCCGACCGCGGTCGCCACGTTCGATGCACGGCTGGATGGTGAGAAAACCCTAACGGACGTCAACCCCTTCGGCGTCCGACAGAATCGACGAGAACACGACCACGGTGAGCAGCGTCTTGAACAGCGGGACAACGATGGCTGGGACGAAGCCCGCAGACCGCTTCGCACAGGCGGGGCCAGCAACGGACGTTGGGAGTCTAGCTTTCAGGTGGAGGTACCGAAATTTTCGGGCGGGCTCGACGCCGCAGAGTTTCTCGATTGGTTTGCTGTTGTGGAGTCGATCCTCAACATTAAGGATGTGCCAGATAATCGTCGGGTGGCGTTCATCGCGACGAGGTTGCGTGGACGGACCACGACTTAGTTCACACAGCTCAAGAGTGTGCGGCATTGTCAGGGCAAGGCTAAAATTACATCTTGGGTGAAATTATGTAAGCATATTGAACTCGAGTTTTTGCCTTTCAATTATAGGCGTATGATTTATCAAAAATTCCAGACTTTGCGACAAGGATCGCGCTCGGTCGACGATTATACCGAGGAGTTTTATCGGCTCCTCAAACGTATTGATGTTCGCGAAACTGATGATCAACTTGTTTTGTGTTATATTGGAGGCCTACGAGTGTCGATTGAAGATACATTTAACCTCTTTATTCCGGACTCAGTGTCCGATGGTCATCAATGTGCGGTTATGGTGGAGCAGCAGCAGGCTCGGTGGGTGTCTTCAAAAATTTTTCCGGCACCTTGGAGAGGAGATGGTATGGCGTCAACGAATGTGGGGCTGTCTGTGTACCGTTCAGAAGGTGCTGGGACATCCGCAGGTTTGTCATCCGGGGTCCTTGGCGCAACTCGGACTCGAAGTTGCGGCCTAGAAAGTGCAAAAATCGTGGCAGGTGTTCAGGCGGGTCCGCGAGCGAGCTCGGGGCTGCGTTGTTTTGGGTGTTGAGAGTTCAGACATCGACAGACGGCGTGTTCACGGGGGGCTGGTTTACATGACTTATTCACCGCAGAGTCCGAGACATTTGTGGCGGCCAAGGGTTACAATGGATCGCCCATTTTTTACGAAGATCCGGAGGTAGTCGAAGAGAATTTTACTGACGATGTCGGGAGGGCCCTTGTTCTTCGTTGGTCATGTTTGCCACATCGGGCTTCGATCGACGAGTCAGTAGAGGGGTACCAAATTTTCGAGTCTACTTGCATCGTCGGGTCGCGCGCTTTGTTTGTCGAGGAGATCTGTGAACTTGACGTGCCCAAATTATACGATGGACCCCTAGTTTTTGATGTGGAACCCGAGGAGGTTGTGGAGAACCTTGCCCGTGATGTCGGGATGGCTCTTGTTCCTCGGCGTTTATGTTTGACGCCCCGAACTTGGACTTCACTATTATTCAGCCGGGAGGAGTTTATTGCAGATTATGATTTGTTTGTGACGAACAATCCAGTCGTTATTTATTACAAGTGTGGGGAAATTGCCTCTGCTGTTATGGCATTCATGGGAAGTCCTTAGAGAAACATAGTATCTTGGCATTCTTTGTTATCTGGATTTGTTCATAATGGGAAGCATGCAGCAGCATTGGCATTGTTTTCTTTCATGAGTCAGTCGAGTGTTACTGTTGATGAGGTCACTTTGGCGAACCTGCTTGCCACGTGCAAGGTCTCGAGAAATCTGCATCAATACAAATCATTTCACTGTAGAGTAATTTGTGGATACTCTCAGTCAAATAATTTGGTCGTGAATTCATTGTTTGATGCATACACCAAATCCACGCAGATTATTATTCCTTGGAGACTATTTTACCAAATCAAACTTTCTTGGAGACTATTATGCCAAATCAACAAATCGGATATTGTAATGTGGCGTACGTTGATATCATGGTTAACCAACTGCGGCATGTCTGATGAAGAAATACTTCTTCCTCGGGAGATGCGACATTTGTACCAGAATCCACATACCTTAACAAGTTTAAACATTATCGAGGCTTGTGCACGCTCTGTTAAATTCAGAAGATCTAAGTGGGCCCATGCCATGGCAATCTGGATGGGACTGGTGGGTGATGCTGTTGGTGGTACTACAATACTCAATATGTACGTGAAATGCGGGGCCATAGAAGCATCTAGAAGGGCATTCGATCAGATCTCAACAAAAAAATGTCGTGTCAGGGAGTGAAATCATTGCCGCATATGGCCTGAATGGAGTTCTCCGTGTAGCACTGGCTTTGCTATCCGAAATGGAAGCTCGTGGTTTTACGCCCAATATGGTTACAATTCTCTCAGCTTTGTCTGCATGCTGCCATGGAGGTTTGGTGAAGGAGGGGCTTTGTGTTTTCAAAGACCTGGCTAGCAAGAATAGAGTTGAACTAAAGTTAGAACACTACTCGTGCCTGGTTGATCAGTTGGCTAGTGCTGGGAATCTTGATGTTTCTCTCGAGCGAGTTTGTCGCTTACACATCGACTCGGGTTCCTACACGATTGTGGAGGCATTAGAGCTTACAGCTGAAGCTACTGATGCAAAAGGAGAAGAGCCCTCAAAGTCACTAATGCTTGCGCTTGATACGATACTTTTCAACTTCGTAAAAACCTTTGGTGGTGGTGTTGTTAGCAGCAGGATTACTTTAAGCGACTTGGGGCATAATGGCTTGGACATAGACGCAGAATTCATTGCCATTTTTGGATTAACCTAGATGGGGAAAGGGCTGCTCATGTGGGGTCTTGCGACAATGAACGATGTAACAATGGCTTTGGTGTTTTTCATGGTGCCCGGTGGTATCTTGTCCTTTTGTAGGCGCCAATTCGGACGAAGACGAGATTCGGCCAGATTCGAGAGCGAATCCTTCCTAACTGGGGAGATGATTAAGATGAGATTGACGAGTCATTCTTGGAAAAACATGATCGTCTGCCACCTTAGCATAATTATTTATTTCATTTGCTATGTTTATTATTTCTCTTATTTAGTTAAGGAGGGTATTTATTTTTAATTGGCAAATTGCTTGTTAAGTAAGTTAGGTCTTTAGGGTGTGTGGGACTCTATTTATTATTGATCTATTCTCTTAGACTGATCGGTTGTTGATCGAAGAATATAGAAAATTTGAGATTTCATTCTCTACTTCTCTTTCGTCTACCACGCTCTACATCACTTGACCTTTCGGTCGATGTCGGTTGCGGATGGTGGAAGAAAGGCGACAACGACTATGGTAAGGACGATGAATTAGGTGACCGCGACTTAAAGAAGAGACGACCATGGCAGTGAAGGTGATCGGACATGCAGGTGGGATTTGCGGCGGGGGAAGGCTGTAACGGGGAGGGGACGGTCGGCGACCAACGGATGGAGAAAGACGCTAATGGGAGCTCAAACGACGGAACAGACAGCGACGTCGACGGTGGACTGTCGAAGCTGCGGGAGAAAAAAAGATGTTAATCGAGGAAGACGGTGATGGCTGTGAATTAGCAGTGACGATGGCTATCACTAACAGCGCGGCTGAGATCGGAGTTGGTTAGAGGAGTGGTGGATGGCGGTGGTCGGTGAAGGCCGATGTATGCAGGATGTCGCCGATTTCTGGCGTTGTGCAGTCGTGGAGAGAGAAATATGGCGATGTGAAGTTTGGGAAAGAGAAAGATGAGGTGTATGGGAGTGAGGTGTGTATGGGTGGGTCCCAGCTGTGGTAAAAGGGTAGTCTAATGTCCATCATGTCCTTATTAAATGGTCGTTTGACCACGAAATTGACACTATTTACCTACTTGCCACTATATATTTGACTGTTATTTATTAAATTGTGACTCAATCATGTTCATTGATATGATTTATCAAATGGTTGAGATTCATTCTCATTTCTTTCCTAGAGCATCATTCTCATGTGATCATATATATATATATATATATATATATCGGTTTTTCTATGAAGCCAACAGTTGGCTCCATAGTGGAGCCAACCTTCTATATACAACAAATAAACATACCATCTAATAAAATTATATTAATGTTATTTAAGTAATCATAGAACATGGTAGATTTACTTGTTGTATATAGAAGGTTGGCTCCACTATTGAGCCAACCGTTGGCTCCATAGCAAAACCGATATATATATATATATATATATATATATATATATATATATATATGTTTGATTATTTTATACATAGTAACTATTTTCCTGAAAAAAAATATAAATCTATTTACTATTTTGGAAAATTAATTTAACAATTTATGATATATATCAAATGATCACTTATGAAAATTGCGGCTCATTATTTAAGGAAATAATTAAGCCATAATTTAAAATACATTATTTACTTAAATCATGTGAATTATAATATATGGTATAAAGTGGACGAATTTATTTTATGCATTGATGGTTATTTCTAGAGAAAATAAATTAATCAATATCTATAGTAATATAAAGAGGTTGTTGGAAAAATACAAAAATAGTAACTTTGACTTATAAAAATAATTGTTGACTTACTAATATAAACAATAGCAATAACAATGAGCCCCACATGTCAACTAATTTAATCAGATTTTGGTAACAAATTTGATCGGATTTTGATAACAAATCTTGAATTTTGGCAACAAATTTGATCTTGTTTTGATAACAAATCTCGGATTTTGTTAACAGATTTGATCTGATTGATATAACAAATCTCGGATTTTGGATAACAATATTTTAAAATAGCGGTTTTTTTTTGGTAACACACTTTATAGTTAGTTACACACAATATATTGCCGATAATTTTTAGGATTTCTTTTGGTAACAAATTTCACAATTTTTTCGAATTGTTTGGAGGTAAATATTGCAGAAAAAACTCGAGATTTGATAAATGATATATATCAAAATAAACATATTATTTCCAATCAATCCAAAAAGTCTTACCTAATTCAATTGCAACAACTTTCTTTAGTTTTGGTAAACATTATGTCACATTGATATGACACATAATCTTCAAAATGAAAAATTAATTGTTGACTTACTGATATAAACAATATCAACGGGCCCCACATATCAACCCATTTAATCGGATTTGGATAACAAAAATCTCAACTTTTGATAACAAATTTGATCTTATTTTGATAACAAATCTCAAATTTTGTTAACAAATTTGATCTGATTATGACAACAAATCTGGGATTGTGATAACAAATCTTTTAAAATATCGATATTTTGGGTAACACACTTCATACTTATTTGCCCACAAATATATTGCCGATGATCTTTGGGATTTCCTATGGTAACAAATTTCATATTTTTTTTGGATTGCTAGGAGTTTAATATTGCAGAAAAAATCTCGAGATTTGATAAATAATACATATCAATTAAAAAATATTATGTTTCAATCACTCCAAAAAGTTTTACCAAATTAAATTGTAACAAAATCCATTAATTTTGGTAAACATTATATCACATTAAAATGACACATAATCTTCAATATATAAAGTTAATTGTTGACTTACTAATAAAAGCAGTATTGATAGACCCAACATGTCAACCAATTTAATCGGATTTTGGTAAAAAAAATTGATCAAATTTTGATAACAAATCTCGGATTTTGGTAACAAATTTGATCTTATTTTGATAACAAATCTCAGATTTTATTTACAAATTTGATCTGATTGTGACAACCAAATCTCGGATTGTGATAACATATCTCAGATTTTGATAACGAATTTTTTAAAATATAATTTTTTTTTGGTAACACACTTCATAGTTACTTACACACAATATATTGTCGATAATCTTTGGGATTCATTTTGGTAACAAATTTCACATTTTTTTCGGATTGTTTGGAGTTCAATATTGCAGAAAAAATCTCGAGATTTGATAAATGATACATATCAAAATAAAAATATTATTTTCTAATCAATCCAAAAATCCTTACCAAATTAAATTGTAATTAACTCCATTAATTTTGATAAACGTTATGTCACATTGATATGACACAT